CTTTCTTATTGTTTTCCATAGTTTTCAACTATTGTCTGGCTCACACACAATTAGAATAATGGTGTGGATTGACCTTTTATTGTTATGTAATCTCCTTTTCTGTCACTGGTAATTTTCTTTGCTCTGAAATCTGTTTGATCTAACTTGGCATAGCCACTCCTGGTTTATTTTGCTTACTGTTAGCATGCTTTGTCTTTTTCCAACATACTACATTCACCCTATATATGTAATTTCATAGTACATACACTTTATTCACCTCCTTTAACCATAACTTAGCATGGGATTCAGCCCATGGAACAGGGGACGTAGCAAGGCTTCAATGAATTCTCTAAAAACTAGTGAATAAAACAACAAATCAGCGAATTGAAGTACAAGAACAGAATTTCAGAGTGTAGCAAATAGTCACAGACAAATGGAATTACACTGCGTGATACAGAACAATCTTATTAGGTAAGAACTTTGGGGGATAACAAACACAGTGATTGACTCAGAAGTCAGAGTGTCTCAGCTTGGGCTGCCATAACCAAATACCATAGTCAGGGTTGCTTAAGCAACAGAAATTTTTTTTTCTTGCCATTTGGAAGGCCAGAAGTCTGAGATGGTACCAGCATGGTTGAATTCTTGTGACATCATCTTGGAGATGGCTGTCATCTCACTGTATCTTCGTAGGACAGAGAAAAAGAGTGAGAGAACAAGGGTGAGTGAGAGCAAAAGCATTTTCTTTTTATAAGGGCATTAATTTCATCATGACTTCATCTAACCCTAACTACCTCCCAAAGATCCCATCGCCCAATGCCATCATCTTGGAAGTTAGTGCTTTGACATTTGAATCTGGAAGCATGCAACTCAGTCCGTAACAAGATGCAATTCATTTTATACTGCTTGTTTAAAAAGACTAAGATGTATGAACTTTGTATGAACTTACACACTTCATTATGTTTGTCCACAAGATTCAGCACATTAGCCCATTATACTTTTGTAAAGCATGTAGTTACATTTCAGGGAACAGTATGTCTATATATTAAGTTTGAAGTGCTATAAACAATGTTTTTTTTTTAAAGATTTGTTTATTTTTATTGGAAAATCAGATCTACAGAGAGAAGGAGAGACAGAGAGAAAGGTCTTCCACACACTGGTTTACCCCTCAAATGGCCACAATGGCCAGAGCTGAGCTCATCCAAAGCCAGGAGCCGGGAGCTTCTTCCAGGTCTCCCACACGGGTGCAGGGTCCCAAGGCTTTGGGCCGTCCTCGACTGCCTTCCCAGGCCACAAGCAGGAAGCTGGATGGGAAGTGGAGCAGCAGGGATACAAACTAGCACCCATATGGGATCCTGGTGCATGCAAGGCAAGGACTTTAGCCACCAAGCTACCGTTGTGTATAACTAACACAGCAACTTTTTAAAAAAGATTTGCCTATTTTTCCTATTTTTATTTTAAAGGCAGATTTTATAGAGAACAGAGACAGAAAAAGATTTTCCACCCACTGATTCACTCCACAAATGGCTGTAACTGTCTCTTTTCTCCATCACAGCGCTCATCATCTCCTCACACACCTGTTCTCCTCTAAGAGTAAGATCTTATTTTTCCATACTTCCCACAGTGCTGACACCAAGTATGTGTGAGGTTTTCCCATATCAACCATTTCTCCAGACACCAACTGAGTGTCCTCTCATTCAATTCAAGCCCACAAGATAGCCTCCAACTTCAGATGCCACTCACATGTCTCAGGTTGCCACCCACACTTCTGATCAACTGTCTGTAAATTGAGGGCTCCTACAGCATTCTCCTCATCTTTGATAACTTCCTACAATACCTTTTGAAACTTAGGAATATACTTCCTTATAGTTACTAGTCTATTATAAATAATATTAGAAAGGATGCAGATGAGCAGTGACAGGAAGAGATGAAATATGTAAGAAAAGGTGCACAGAACCTGTGCTCTCCCCAAATGCACCACTCTCTTGGCACTTTGCTGTGTCCACCAATTCAGAAGTTCTCCAAAGTCTATTTTTAAGGATTTTAATGAGTTTTTAGTCTCTAGCCATGATTGGTTACATCATTTAATATTAGTGATCAATTCAAACTTCAGCTCCTTGAGATTAAGAGGTGAAACTGAAAGTTCCAACCTGCTAATCACAACTTGATCTTTCTAGAAAATAGCCCTCTAGGCCCTGGATGCTATCTAGGGACTACCAGACAACCCATCCACATACACAGGAACCCTTAGCATTTTACAGATTCTAAATGTTTCTTTTTTTCTATCACAAGGTGAGGACTAAACCCAAATGTTACAATAAAGAAAAACTTCTGTTATCTTTATCAATCAGAAAATCATGAGAGTTTCAAAAGCTCTATGTCTGAGACTGAGGGCAAAGACCAAATTTATATTTGTCTTGCCATATCTACTCATTTGGCAAAAATTAGCAGTGGGGCTTATTAAAGCTTAAAGATGTCTTCAAACATGCATCAGTTTGAGTAAAATGCTCTCACAGGTTGGAAATTTGGTACTGCAGGATATCTCTACTTGGTCCACATGCTTGCAGCATTATGTAGAGCATCACTTAACTTCCAAAAAGAAGGTTCAAAAAGGAGAGCAATAGTGAAAGAAAGACTCACCTGGGATTGAAGGCAAATAAGTCAGCAGTTCTGTGAAATACAGGAAATGGGCATAGTCACAACTTGCACTGTCATTGAGAGGATATACACAAAGGCCTTAAAATAAATGAATGAAGGACAATAGTGAAATGAAGATTTTTTTTTTTATATTGTGATGTAGCACACTCCAATTTAGTCCAGGTTCCTATATGGACAGTTGAGAATAGAATTTAATCTGTGTAAATTGCAGCTTTTAAATGAATTAATTAATGTATTTGATTGTTTCAGAAACGGAGAGAATGGTAGAGAGAAAAAGAACAGCCATCAGCTGCATTCACTATCCAAATACTTAAATGGGTGGGGCTGAACAGGATGAAACCAGGAGTAACTCAACCCAGGTCTCCCAGTTTGGTGGCAGAGGACCCAGTCACTTGAGCCAACACCTGCTACTTCCCAGGATGTACATTTTCAGGAAGCTGAAACCAGAAGAAGAACCTGGACTCAAACCAAGCACTCTGATATGGAACGCCAGCTTTTCAACAGGTAGCTTAGTTGCTGAACCAAACACCCAAAGGAATCACATTAGCTACAGCATGTAATGTAGAGGACTGGAGCTAGCAAAGTCACCTTGGCCTCCATGTTGATTTGCATATAGGAGAGATTATATTTTCTTCTATTATTATTATTCAGATATTACAACATTTTTAAAAACCCACTCTAATCTGGTATGGAACTGTTGAAAGATAAATTGGATTTTTTGCTTATCTACTTATATTGTGATTGAAATTATTTCACTTAAGTAGGGGTTAAATGAACTTAGCATGAATCAGTCGTAAAACTAAAGGAGAAAGATACAAAAAATAAACAAATTAGTTCTCATCTCAACAATTTTCAACTCATTTTAATGGAAGAGAAGAGAAAACCAGCTTTATTTTCCATCCTCAGCTGTGATTTCACTAGAGGTTGGAAGCTAATAAATAAGTGGTTTCTGGGTTTTCTTTTGTGATGAGAAAACATTTTTTAAAAAAGAAACTGTTGCTTAAAACATCTTTCTCTTGTACAAAGAACAAATAAAATACAGTCCAGTGATTAAACTATGTTTGCAACAGTTGTTTGTTAAGCCTGGGACTTTTTAAAAACAAGTATACAATTATTCATCTAATCCAAACTTTGCATTTTTCTGTGTTTCAGGTCAAACTTCAAGAGTTTGGGAGGTTGAATTTTGATGGAGCATCCAGATGTGCTCAGCTGTCATGGCAAATATTTGCCATATTTGCTTGCATATTTTGTCTGCTATATTGGCAAATTCTCAGTTTATTAACATAGACGAAAGAAGTAGATTAAGAGTTACCGTATCAATCACTGTGCCTTGGGCTCAATATCACCTTTAATGTGATCCAAGGCTTTCAGCTTTGAGTTTTTTTGTTTTGTTTTGTTTTTAAGAAAGGAGCCAACCTTTCCAATGCAGCTAAATAGTATCAATGATTGAATAATTGAAGGGGAAACCCCTGAGCCTATGGAACCCACCAGCATAAATGTGGGCTGGAAGAGTAGGGTCAAATGGGCTGAGCTAGGCTGCAGCACCCAATTGGTGTGCACTAAAGCTGAATGGGATGTGAGACAGATGGAGCAGTCTGCTGCACACACTGTCACGCACAGGAACCAGGGCTGAGGTAGGAATGAATTTTGAAGGACACTCAATGACAGGGCCACTGTACTTGCAGGTAAGTGAGGGCACTGAGACCTGGTGGTTTGGAGGGGAAAGACTGGAAGATCTGTATGGATCAGACTGCTGCACCATCCCACACAGGAGTCCTGAGTTGGGCTTGTTAGCATGAAACATTGCTGACTGCCACACGCCAGTCCACAAGAAAGCTAGGGCTAGATCTCAGGACCTGACTGAATGTCAGAACAGGAGATGGTTACATTAGGTAGGGCCCCATGACACTAACCAACATGCAAGAGAACGCAAATTCTGTGGGGGATATGTATACCAAACCTTGTGGAAATACAAGCCCCACTGGTTAGCTCAAGAGTTGGGGTGGTGATGTGCTGAGCTAGGTGTGACCATGGAACCTGCTGACACTCACAGGTACTAGGACTGGGAACAGTCTGGGCAGGTTCAGGTTGCAGCAACTGCATGTACATCCTAAAATAGGGTGTGGGGCAGGCTTGGCTATAACATTCACCAGCGCATACAAAGCTAAGATGGAGTGGCAGGCCATGCTGAGCAAGAGCCTTGCACCTGCTGGTATGTATAAGATCTGGGTCTGGGACTGGGTCAAGTTGGGGAACCTGGGAAACTCCCCAAGTGTGTCATAACTCCCACTGGTGAGCACATGGTCCAGGCTTAGGGCCAGGCAAGCTGGGCAAGGTAGCTCCAACTGTTGGCAAATGTGTGGGTTGGTTTTGGAAGGGAGCAGACTGGGCAAGGCTAAGCAAACCTTAGTTCACTGGCAAGTGCAGAAACTAGGCTGGAATGCAGGTCTTGCCAGGCTTGGCTGTCACACCTACTGGTTTGCATGAGTCAGTGATGGGAACAAACTGAGCAGAGTCAGGTTCCAGCACCCACCAGTGAGAGTTGGGACTGGGGACAGGCTAGGTCAGGCCAGGCTACAGCATCAAAAGGCAAAGGCCACGACAGGTGATGGACTATGCCAAGTTGGGTCAGAGCAACCATTGGCACAGGAAAGATTTATGGCTGGGAACAGGCCTGGTTAGGGAGCAAAGGGGACACCCTGGCTAGAATGTGGCTCCCACTGATTAGTAGGGGCTGCTATCTGGTCTGGACATGGCTACAATGTTCCTCAGTCCAAGTGTGGATTGGGTCTTGGGTGCCCCAGAGTGGGCTAGACTTGAGCACCCACTGGTGCTCATGAGAACTAGGGTAGGTGTAGGATGGGCTGGGATAGGTCTCTGCCCCTGTCTGAACTGTGTCTGGGTGTGAACACAGTTGACTGGGCTATATAACCAACAACAGAATCAGAATGGGTGAAGGCCAGTCAGGAAAGGCCAATGTTCCTGCTAGGGCAGGAGGGCTAAGACTAAGTAGAGCTGGCCCATAGACCCACTGATACATGCAAGATCTGGCATTGGGAGGAGTTCTTATGGAGAAGTTTGGGGAACTCCTCTGTCGGGACACAGTCCCTGCCAGTGAGTGCAAGAACCATGATAGGGAGCAGCCCAGACGAGGCCAGGAAATGGTACCCACTGGCATATGTTTGGTGCAGGTTGGGGTGAACCAGACTGGGCCAATTCATATCACCTGCTGGTAAATCCGAGCACCAGAATGGCCAGGTTGGGATGTAACACAAACCAGTTCACATGAGGGCTGGGATTGAGGGCTGGCTTGGCTGGGCTAGGCTGTAGCCCAACATGAGCTGGAATTGGGAGTGGGTGGGGTCAGGCCAGGACAGTACCTACTGGCAAATATTCATGTGAGGCAGGCCAGGCACACGTGAGACCCATGAGGCAGGGGGAGAACCCAGTAGGGGGCTGATGTGGCACTCCCTATCTGGACCACCACTCCCACTGGTGAGCATGAGAGTTAGGATGGGGGCAAACCAGACCAGGCAGGGCTGCAACACCTGTTAGCCTCATATGAGCTAGATCAATGGAAAGCCAGACTGGGTTGACTGGTCCCTACTGGTGCATGCACAAGCCAGAATGGATGTGGATTGGTTGGGCTTTGCCACAGCATCAGGTGGCAGATGCTGGCAGGGGTAAATTCTGTCAAGCTATACTGCAGAACCACCTGGAAAGTGCAAGATCTGGGAATAGGAGTGGGCCCAGTAGGGAAATAGTGAGTACCTCATTCTTGGGTTGCCACTCCGACTGGTGAGCATGAGAACCAGGAGTGGAGTGGCATGACTAAATAGAGAGTGGCACCCACTAGCATGTGTGTGGATTGGATAGTGAGGCTGGTTGGGCTGAACCAGGCTTCAATGCCCACTGACAAATGTATAAGAATTGAATGGGATATGAGACAGACTGGACCAGTCTGCTATACATGCTGGCAAGCACAGGAACCCGGGCAGGGGCCTGATGGGGGTTATTGCGGGTTGCTCTGACTCACTGGTTTATATGAGAGCCAAGTGTGTGGTCGGCAGGATTGGGTTGGGCTACAACCCCCATTGGTTTGTGTAGAAGACAGGGCTGGAAACAGAGCTGACCCAGCAGCATGTGTATAAGCTGATTGGGGTAACAGACTGTGCCAGACCCTGTATTGGCAAGCACACACAAGAACCAGGTCTGGAATCACCTCTGAAGTTGTTTGTTTAGGTATCTCCCCCTGACTAAATTGCTGAACTAAGAGCTCTAAATATGGAGGGAACTGCAGTTCCCATGGTTTGACAGTGGAGTGCATATGTCAGATGGGCCGCCTCAGTGGCTTAGACAGAGCAGTAGACAGCATACCTAGGTGAACATGGAGGATATGGCAGTACATTGGAGTCTGCAGAGGATACCTGATACCATAACAGAAGATGGAAGACAGACAAATTGATCAACTACCTCAGCCAAGTGTTGGCAGTGAATATCTGGGCAAACAGATTCTAAGGTGGACTATGTCAAGAAGTGGATCTGGAGAGATTTTATTGTGCTTGGAGTGGCAAGATTGGCAGTAACTCAGAACTGCTGAACTGTCAAAACCTCTTGAGCAGGACCCTCAGAGCACGCCCCACATCAGGGACCCTGGGGTGGTATTGAGTGGCTGTCCTCCATCCCAGGGTGCAGAGGCATTTGGGAGGCTGGGTGTGGCTTTTTCCCTTATCCCCCCCCCCTTCCCCCAGATACAGGAAGGAAAAAAAAGAGAATGTGGAAATGGTGATCTCACCCAACTTCCTGCAGCCCTTGACCCTTATCACCCTAATCAACTATATAAAAATAATCAAAAATAAAAATAATTATGAGAAAAAAGCAAAGTAATAAGTCCTCATAATCTTAGGTTTAACAAGATTTCCTTAGATATCAAGATTGCAAGCAGCAACAGGAAAAGACAATTCAACTAAATTTAAGCCTTTTGTGCTTCAATAAACACAGCTAAAAAAGTAAACACACTGCACACATAATAGGAGAAATATTTTCAAATATCATCTTGTAGGGTTTTATGCCCAGAATAAATAATGAGCCCTTATGAATAACAATAAAAAGATAATTAAATGGATCAAAGAGTCTTATTTGTAGAATAAATGGAAAATTCTTATAATTCAACAGTATGAAAAGAACAATTAAATGAACTAAAACATAAACAAAGACTGTGTGAACATTTCTCTAAAGAAGACGTAAAAAAAATGGCCAACAAGCATATACTCAACATCATTATCAGGAAAATGCAAATAAAACCATAATATAATACCCCTTTTAATATGATGTCTAATTTTATAATAATACAGATAGACAAGAATCACTGTTGGGGTGTTAATGTTGTGACATAGCAGGTGAAGCCACTGCCTATGACACTAGCACTCCATAAGGGTGCTGATTGAAGTCCTGGTTGCATCATATCTGATCCAGCTCCCTGCTAATGTACCTGGGAAAGCAGACTAGTACAAGTTCTTGGATCCCTCAATTTGGGAGACCTGGAAGAAGCCTCTGGCTCCTAGATTTGACCTCTTCTAGCGCTAGGCATTTTGGTCATTTTTGGAGTGAACTAGCAGATGGAAGATCTCCTTTCTCTCTCTGTCTCTCTCTCTTACCCCGCATTTCAAAAAAGAGTAAGTGTTGGTAAGAATGTGCAGAAATTGGAACTTTCATACATTATAAGTGAGAACATGAAATAATGCAGCCCCTTGGCACATAATTTAGTTGTTCATTAAATAAACGTTTAAAATATGAATCAGTAATTCCACTGCAACAGACTTGAAAGCATGTCTGCATAAGACTTTGTGTATGAATATTACATGTCCATAAAAAAGTTGAAATCACTGATGCATGCTGCAAAGTGAATGAACCTTTCAAACAGCCTACTGAGTGAAAGAAGTCAGACACATGCTCCCATAACGATCACAAAATCCACTAAACCCTATGCTCTAAAATGGTAAACTTTGTGCTGTGTGAATTATATCCAAATAAATTGGTTAATTTCTAGCATGAATAAGATAATTTTCAAACTCTTAAGAAAGTTACATTTTAACATGGATGAGATTGTCATTGCTGTGTTTAAAAGCAAGTCTCAAACATTTATGTCCATCACAACTCCTAGCACTAGCAAAATAAACCCTGTGGAATTAAATTGGCTCCCACAAAATTCTGTCAGCTTACCTGTGGGAAACTCAGTCTTCTGCTATGTCACCCTGATTCTAGGAGTCTGTCCTGTGTACTTCAGAGGTAACTCAGTCTGGCTTGTTCCTGCCAAGCTCTGTTTCTGACCATGCTGAAAAGATCTTACTTTAGCTATTTATCAAGTGGTCTCCAGCAGCTGGAGAGGCAATGGAGTCTTATGCAATAGTATGGACATTAAAACTGTGTGCACCAAGTTCTTCTCTGTTTTAAAGGCTAATCTTTCTTTTTGTCCCTGTCTCTTCCACTGTACATTGTATCCTGAGTGCTCTATAAAAAGTATATATTGGACTGTGCATCTTCCCTGATTCACTGTTAATGCATATTCAGTTCTTAATGTCAAATATATTTGTAAGGTTTTTATGTCAATTGACTCAATAAATCTCCGCAACAAATATTCTGTGATTTTCATTTTCTAGATGAATAAGATGAGACACAGAAGCTTCAAGTTGCCTATCCATAATGACACACCTGCTGGGTACCTGGGATAAGCAATCTACTCAGATGGCATTGTTTTAGAGCCCATGATCTCAATACTACACCACCCTCTCCTCAACTACTATCATCCCACTGATGGCAAAATCTCTGCCATGGTTTTAAAGACCTGGATAGTCTGGTCACTGCCTTCTTCATATACTAACACCTCCCACTAAGGCAGTTCATCATGTTTCATCCATAGTAGCCTGTTGGTTCCCGGAGTGTAGCAAGCTCTGTCCCATCTTTAGATTTTATGTAGACTCATTTTTTTCCTTCATATGTTTTGGTTGCTTAAATGTTTCATTTCAGGGCCTTCCCCTCTTAGTGAGCATGCTGCCCTGCTCAGACTATCTTTGTGTGGTAGCAGCTTCATTCAGAGCACTTTTCTCAATGTGTTCAGTAGTCTGTGAGTTGTCTCCCCTGTGAAACTGTGGGATCTTGAAATCAGGAACTATGATTGATCCACCTGAACCTAACATTGTATCTGGCACAAAGGCAGCACTTGATCAAAATTAGTTTAATGAAAGATGAGGAAGGTTGAATTTACACTTTTACCCTAGGGTTTCTCAGCTAATGCTGGCTTTTTGGGAAATTTTGTCTGAGAGTTAGGTCAGGGTTTTACTGATTTTTAAATTTATTTAATTTTTAATATTGGTTACATAGTTGAGAAGGATATATACCTTATGTGGGCCATTGATTAGAGTGGGGAGGATCAAGGTATGGAGGAAGGTGGATGGAAGAAATGTTTCTATTTTTTTTTTCTCCTGTGTCTACAGGACCAGGGAGGAGGGGAGGGCACAACTCCTTGCTGACAAACTACATCAGCACCCGGAGATGGTCATTTGATGTCATTTTAGAGACCCCAATGTGGAAAAGGATGTTCCAAGGATGTTACTCAAGTAGTTTTTATAGTTCTGAGACATTATTCATTCTGCTGCTCCAGGGTAGAGAAAATACTTCCAAGGTTTATTGGTTAGCAAAGTCCACTTTAGTGCATCCACAGACCTAGGAACATGTTGCAAAGCTTGACCAGGAGAGTCGTCCGACCTGTTCTGCTTTCCATCCTCTGACAAGGCATTTGAAGTCCTCTGATGGCCTAGGTGAGCTGGCTGTCATGTTCCTCCTGTGCATATGGGTAGTCTGTCCACCACACAGGCATCAGCCACTGAGGAGGCCCAGTCTTGATACATGTACTCTTCCAAGGTCAGACAATATAACTGTGATTTTCCCTGTGGACAAGGTTTGAGTGCCATGATCTAGTCGGGGAGCCACTAGAGAAGCCTTGCGCAGGGTGACCCCATATCTGACTTTTGTCATCTAATGCAAAGTCTAGTTCAGTCTGTTACCTCCATCAGCCTACACACATACCAGTGAATTTAGTAAACTGATCAGTTCCACCCCAGCCACATCTCCTATGCAAACTGGCAGATGTTGCAGCCTAGTTCAACCCAGCCTGCCATAAACCCAGGCCTTATGCACACCAGTAGGAACTTCAGCCTAGTGGAGGCAACCTTCAATAACCCCCACCAGACCCACCCACAGTCCTGGTTCCTCCACACACCAGCATGTGCAGCAGTCTAACCCAGTCTGTGCTGCACCCCATCTGGCTCTTGCACACACTCTTGGGTACTGTGACTTAGTTCAGTCCAAATCACCCCCAGACTCAGCACACACATATGCCAACAGGTGCTGTCATCTTGTCCAGCCTAGACCGCTCTCAACCCTGGATCTTATGCACATCAACAGAAACTGTTGCCCAGCAAAGTATCCACAGTCACCTAAGCCCAGTCTCAGCTTTGGATCTCGCAGTTGCCAGGAGTTACTACCCCTAGATATGGCTTCATGTGGGCTGGAAGATGTTGCAGCTTAGCCCACCCCATTCCATACCCACTCCGACTCTTGCAAGCTCCAGTGGGTGCTGAGACCTATTCTAGTCTGACCTGCTGCCAGTCCCAGTCCACACACATGCCAATGGGTGCTACAGCCATGTTCAAACATCACCCTCAGCTCCAGGGCTCATGCCTACCGGTGTGACCTGCAGCCTAGTGAGGGAGTCCCCTTAGTTTCCCCACCAGGTCTGCTCACAGCCCAGATGAATCTTTTCTGTTCAGCATATGCACTAAAGTTTAATATATATTGAATAAAAAGAGCATAATTTGTCAAGAAAGGCTTCATAGAGAATGCATACTTGAATGACTTACTGAAAATATTTTTTCAAACGTGAAGGATATGCATTCGAAAACTCCTTAGGAAGCAAACAATTCTTGTTAAATAACATATCAATCACTCAAGCACAAATGAGAAAATACCATATGGATACTTTTATTACAAAGAGCCATGGACACGAGTCATTTGTTAACTTACGAAGAAAGACAAATTTTGCAAAGCAATTAGTGACAAGATACAAATACTAATTACCAAATCCCACAAGTGGCACGTATCTTCCAAAGTGAAATAAAAGCCAACTAGTTTTACTGTCAACAATAGTAGATTCTATTCTATCCAACTCCTTGTGAAGTCAAAAAATGATAAAGAAAATATATGTGGACTAAATCAGATATAATGTAGGCTATTCATCTTATACCAAACTAACTCACTTTTCATCATTCTTATACTACAGCAGTTGAGACAAGGGACTCTTTGGTTGGAATATTGGTTTAAAATCCCACTCTGTTGCTAACTTGCTGTGTGACTTCAGGCAAATTATTTGACCTATTCGAACTTCAATCCTCTGCACTTTAAACTTGGACGAATGATAGCATCCAACTCCATGAATAGAAAAGAGTTCACTAATTGCCAAGCACACAGGAATTCCTCAGTAACTGTTAAATAGCAGTAGTGTTTTGAAGTCACCTAGGGAGGAAAGCACTGAATTGGCTGTAAAAAATCTGAGTTCTCGTCCCAGTTCTTCCAGCTGTGGGACGGCACCGTTTATGACATTCTTCTCTTTGGTAAATAAGGGTGTTTACATGACTATGAGTGTCAGGTGTTTATCACTGCTTAATCAACCAGTAGAGAATGTGTGCTGGGGCACAGTGAGCTAATGCAATCTACATTACCAGCATCCCACAACAGAGCACTACTCTGAGTCCTAGTTGCTCTGCTCAACCCAGCTTTCTGCTAATGTACCTGGAAAAAAGCCACACAGGATGACCCAGATACTTGAGCCCCTGAGCCCATGTGGGAGACTGGGTTGGAGCTCTGGTTTCCTTAGGCTTTGGCACAGACCAATCCTGCTCATTGTTGGCCGCTGGGAGAATAAAGCAACAGATGGAAGACGTGTGTGTGTGTGTGTGTGTGTGTGTGTGTTCATATATGTCATCTTTTCTTTCAGGTTAACAAATAAATATAATAAAAGTATGATAAATAATGAAAATGGTTTATGCCTTAAATTATGTTAGAAACAACAATTTATTGTTCTCATGAAACTGTGGGTTGACTGGCAGAAGCTGGGAGGACCTGCTGCTCTACTCTGTTTAGTATAGCCGAAGTTATTCAAGTAGCTGCATTTACCTGGTGATTAGATGGAGCCGTAATGTGTAAAGTGGCATCACCCTTCAGGGTCTCTCTATTTCCCATCCTTTTCTGAGTGAAGAGTCTGTTTCAAGCTATTTTTCAATCATGTTCACAACAGAACGTGTTCCAAGAAGACAAACCCCCAGTGTAATGGACTTAGCAACATTCTTTGTACATCTTGCTCACTTGTTTCATTGGCCAAAGTCATACAAGTCCAGATTTTCTTCAGTCAACATATTGTCAATTTACTTATTAAAATGCTTGCTATCTCTATTTCTTTCATGACCTTTTCAATTTTCTCATTTTGCTTCTCAAAATACTAACATTTAATAAATACTAAATACACTCCTCCTACAACCTCAGAAAGCATGTAATTATACTACTGATTTGAGACTCAGTGCTGGGCTGGTAAAACCCAGCATGGAACAGCAGATCCTAATCATCCCTGTCTCCGACCACCACCTGAACACAAACTCTTGACCCACTCGATTCCCAATGGAATTCTGTGCTCTTGATTGAGCAGTTTTATACATCAGCCAGTTTTATCAGTTGCCGATGAGTATAACATTTGGACAGTGAGCACACCTCAGCAGCAAACAGACCATAGCAGGGTGGGCTCGGGTCCTACCCCTAGCCTGGCTGAGGTGTGAATTCTAGGTGTGATCTAGCATTCATGGACACAAGGCAAGGAGTCTGAGCTTACTGCAGTTCAAGGAAGAGGCTTGTAGGCATGCACAAAATTACCCCTTCCTAGATACTTCCCAACTTCCCACTAGAGATTTGAAACAAATTCAAATTTGCAGAATATAGAAGAGCCAAATCAATAAAAACATCAAAGGCAGACTTGAGGCAAATCACAACCTAGTGCTGAAATAGCAGAAGTATCCGTAGGCTCAGAGAAAATGAGTAGAAAGCTTAGAATTTCTAGGAAGACAGATACAAATGAAACCGGAACACTAAAACAAATCCATTAATATCCATACAGTATCACACATCACTCAGCATTAGGAATCTCCAGGGAACCATGATTTTACCTAAAGAGCAAAATAAGATACCAGAAGACAAACATCTAGGAATTGAAATTTTTAAATGCTTGGATGAAGATTTCACCTCAGCTATTTCAAGAAAGAGTAATGCATGTCAAGAGAGCACAATAAATGTTTTAATATTGTAACAGAGATTTGGTAGAGATGCAAGTAATTATACAAAATCAAGCAGAAATTCTGCAACTCAAATCACACTGAATGAAATTAAAAATGTGGTACCAGGCCTAGCACAATAGCCTAGTGGCTAAACCCTTCCCTTGCATCCGTTGGAATTCCATATAGGCGCTGGTTCATATCCAGTGGCTCCACTTCCCATCCAGCTCCCTGCTTGTGGCCTGGGAAAGCAGTAGAGGATGGCCCAAAGCCTTGGGACCTTGTGCCCATGTGGGAGAAGCTGCAGAAGAAGCTCCAGGCTCCTGGCTTTGGATGAGCTCAGCTCCAGCTATTGAGGCCACTTG